TCTGTTCTGGGCAGGCTGCTGAGGGGTGGACGATGGCCAGCTGGCAGGGCCTCAGACGCCTGGTACCATACGCCAGCTACTGAGCTCATTTGCTCCAGCTAAGTCATTTTACAGGCAGCCCAGCCTCAAGATTAGCACAAGGCTTCGTGCAGATGTTCTGGAGGAGGGAGAACAAGGCAGAATCAGAGAGAAGGAAGCAGTATGGGCTTTCATTTTGAAGGTTGAACCCTAGGACTTCTTGGGGGTCTGATGAAATGGAATGCCTGAAGAGTATAAACAGCTAAACAGATAGTAGATATGATGGCCCTGGGAAGTAGGCCACAGTGCTATCTTGATTTCAGGGAGAGAAATTGAGGCACTGTGGGGTTAACAGGCCTGTGTAAGAATTGTAGTAAAGGACACAGAGGTGCAGGACCACTGGAATTCAAAACCCTCGCTCTGAGCTCAGCCATGGAGACTAAGAAAGTCATGGTTCACAGTAGTGACCAAGAGAAACCTGCCTCTCAGGAAGGATGTAATAAAATTGTGGTCAATTTGAGGCCTTTCCATGTCTAGCCCATCATGCCTACCTCCTCCTTCCATAGTTGATGAAGGCCTAGGTGGCCCTATGGATAACCTAATATCCAACCTATTTTCAATTGCAGGCATATATTCCTGACTGAATTCTACTGTCATTGAATCTTCCCATGAAAATCCCTCCAACAGGAGAGGAGAGAGGACACAGGCCAGAATCTGGGTCTCCTGTGCCATTGAGTCTCAAAAGGGATAGTTAATTGTTAGGCCTTGGTGCTCACACCTGTAATCCTAGCTACTCAGGAGGCTAAGATATGAGGATCAAGATTCAAAGCCATCCCAGGAAATGAATTCATGAGATGCTCATCTCCAATTAACCAGCAAAAAAAAATCTGGAAGTAGAGCTGTGGCTCAAGTAATAGAGCACCAGCCGTAAGTGGAAAAAAAAAAAGCCAAGCAAGAACAAGAGGCCTTGATTTGAAGCCTAGTACCAAGAAGAATCTAGAGGCAGTGGGGGGGGGGGAGTACAGGGGGCGGGGGAAGAATAGTTAGATTATTCAAACCATATTCTGAAGATGTTCTTGGCTTTACTATAATATAACCTTTTTCTTAGATCTGCAGGATGAGATTAAAGATCCAGGAAAACATTTTATTGGTTTATCACGCAGTTTGATGATTCTGCCAGCACAGCCAGATTTTTGTTTCTGTTGCTTGAGATGAGGTCTCCCTATGCAGCCCAAAAGCCTTGAATTCAGATCCTCCTTACCTCAGCCTCCTGAAGGGCTGAAATTACAGCTATGTATCACACTACCTAGCTCCTATTACCTTGTTAAAGGGATTTGAAAGGCTCAAAGAAGTTGAGAGAGGCTTTTCTGTGAGATGAAACACCTCATATTTAGGATATGTTTCTGTTTGTCTATGTCACATAAATTAAGTGTTTTTATGTTCATTTAGAGGAGAAAAGGGGACGTTAGGAAGATTAGCCTTCCCACATGGTTTCTATTCGGCCACCTGCATGACCAGCTTAGCTCTCCAGGTGGGAGATGTCTCTAACACCATAGATGATTATTGTCTGTTTTCAGCTGTGGCCTCTGTCTGTAGGAAAGTCTGGTGGTCTCTAGCTCTGAAATCCCTTTGCATGCTTTGATAAGGATGAGATAAGCAGATGAGGTTATTCTATGTAGTTCAACTCTGTGTGATAAAGGAGACCTCATTTACTCCTTAGCCTCAACCACAATTCTGGAACACAATTTGTGCTTGAAATGTCCCTCCTCTTCCTGTGCTGAGACACAGCCTTTCAACAATTAATATTGTTCCTGAACAATTACAATCTCTCTCCCTTCCTCCCTCCCTCTCTGTCTCTCTCTGTCTCTGTCTCTGTCTCTGTCTCTCTCTCTCTCTCTTTCTGTCTCTCCCTTCTCCCCCATTTTCCTTCCCCCTCCCCTCTGGCAATACTTGAGCTTGAACTTAGGGTCTAGCACATTCTTTCCTTGCTTGATCAGCTGGTACTCTACCACTTAAACCATACTTCCAGCCCTGATTTTTACTGGTTGTTTTGGAGATGGAGTCTTAGGAACTATTCAGCTCAGGCTGACTTGGACTCTCAATCCTCAGATCTCACTTCCTAAATAGCTAGGATTACAGGCCTGAGGCACCAGCACCCACCTCTCTAATTTTTTAACTTAATTCCTTATCAAAACTCATTCAGGGAGCCAGGTGCTATGGCTAATGCCCGTAATTTTAGCTACTCAGGAGGCTGAAATCTGAGGATTGTGATTTGAAGCCAGCCCAAGCAGAAAAGTCTGTGAGAATCTTATCTCCAATTAGGCAGCTAAAAGCAGGAAGTGGTGACATGGCTCAAATAGTCCATGAGATGTTTTGATAAAAAAAAAAAATGACCTTCCAGCATTCATATCAGGCTCAGGTGATGGCATAAAGACATGTTCTTCTGCCCTATCACTGTCTGACCATTTTCCTTTTTCTTTTTCTTTTTGGCACCAATACTAGAGCTTGAACCCCAGGGCCAGGGCAATCTTCCTTACTCATTCTCTTAGCTTATTTGCTCAAGACTGGCACAGGTAAGCCACGCTTCTATGTCCAGCTGTTTGCTGGTTAACTGGAGATAACAATCTCACAGACTTTCTACCTGGACTGATTTCAAACCTTGATCCTCAGATCTGAGCCTCCTGAGTGACTAGAATCATAGGAGTGAGCCAGCAGCACCCAGCATCCTGTCCTAAATTTCGCAGTTTCATGTTGAACCTAATAGTCCGAGTGATCAGGGATCATCTTTTTTTTTCAGGAGGTTGGCAGATAGTTTTGCTATATCCACACAGTGCCAACCTGGACTTTTCATATAAACACTAAGATAACAACATGGAAATAACACTTGTTAGAAGTGCCTGTAATCACACAATATGCACAGCTATCCAGCCTTCCTCCACCCCAGGAAGCATAAGTTTTTGAAGCCACAACCTCACCCCTGGAAAGGAATCACAGCCGGTAAAGTCTTGTCCACCTGATAGCTGCCCCCTTTCAGAAGAGAGAAAATTTACCTGTGGATTCTCAATCAACATTGCTTTCTCTCTGATTTTTACTATTGTTGGTCAAGGGGCTTGAACTCAGAGCCTGGGCACTGTCCTTGAGCTTTTTTGCTCAAGGCTAACATTCTACCACTTTGAACCTCAGCTCCACTTCTGGTTTTCTGGTGGTTAATTGGAGATAAATCTCATGGATTCCTTACCTGGGCTGGCTTCAAACCGCAAATCTCAGATTCCTCAAGATCTCAGCCTCCTCATTAGCTAGGATTACAGGCATGAGCCATTGGTACCCAGGTGAGCATTGCTTTCTTTATGTGTTGTTTCTGAAAGATGAGAATATATAAATTGTGTATTTTAAGCCACCAGAGCCAGTTTTAAACCACCACCATCTTTTACCTAGGAAATTAGAGTCCCTCATCCCAGAGTATATTCCCTATCTTGTTTTCCCATACCACATCCTGCGTAACCATGCCCTGTCTCAAGCGCAACTTAGTTTAATTATCATAAATATCAAGAACCACAAGGCAATGGTGGCTCATGTCTGTAATCCTAGCTACTCAGGAGGCTGAGATCTTGAGGATCATGGTTCATAAGCCAGCCCAGGAAGGAAAGTCCATGAAACTCTTATCTCCAGTTAACCAGTAAAAAGCCAGAAATGGAGCTGTGGGTCAAGTGACAGTGCCCGGGCACTGAGTTCAAGTTCCAGACACACACCCCAAGAGCCACAAGCAGGACTTTGTGATGGGTTGCAGCTGTAAAGAGCTTAGCTGGGTGACCAGGATTGGAACAGGGCATGCTGTGAGGACACACCTCAGATGGAGGCAACCAGACCTACAGCACGTGTGGCTCTCTGGCTTGAACAGAAGATAGAAATTAAAATAATGAGCTGATGGACAGGTGCCAACTTGGTGAGGGTGAACCCAGCTCTCCTTAGGCAGCTTTAAGACAGGTACTCTAGGATCTGATTCTCAACCCCTCCCATATCTATGAGAGTCCCTAATGCTAATAACACCCCGCCACTCTGTTCCCCCTTCTTCTGCAAATCTCACCACTCTGTGTAATGACTTCTAGTCAAAACATATTTATAACCAGGCACCTGTAATCCTAGCTGCTCAGGAGATGAGATCTAAGAATCAAGATTCCAGCTAAGGCAGGAAAGTCTCTGGGACTCCTATCTCCAATTAACCACTGAAAAAACAGAAGTGGAGGTGTGGCTCAAGTAGTAGAGCAGCAGCCTTGAGTAAAAAAAAGCTCAGGGACAGCGTCCAGTGCCATGACAGACACGAAAATATATCTAGCTCTGGAGTCAAATGAATGAGGACTCCAAAAAAGAAAACCCAGGTCACTTTAACTGCCCCCTTTCCTAGATAGACACCCTTTAGGTCAGCTTGTTGATGGCCGGCCAGTTTCATGCTCTTAATCTTGTCTTAAAACCAGAATTGAAAGAATCTACTCTCCAGCCTCCATTTCTGTTCTGAGAATTTTCCTCCTTTCCTCTGCTTTTGTTCAAAGCTTCTCCATCACCTAATTTTTAAATTTAGCCCCATAGTTCTTCTGCAAAACCCCCTTTCTCTCTGACCTCCCAAACCATCCAGATTCAGCCTGCCAGGAACAAGGAAATCCCATTGAACTCTGTATCCTGCAGGGACAGATCTTGGAAAGCTGAGCAATGAGGATTGATGTTCACACACAGCATGGGAAGGAAAATTGTGACATTCTTTATCTCCAATTAACCACCAAAATGCTGGAAGTGGAGCTGTGGCTCAAATAGTAGGGTGCTATCTATTCTTGAGTGAAAAGGGCAGATGGGAAAGAGGCCCTGAGTTCAAGCCCTTGAATTCAAGCCCTACACACACACACACACACACATACACACACACACACACACAAACAAAAAAAACAAAAATAATAACCTATTCATCCATTTGTGATTTCTGTTTCTTTCAGGCAACTATGGTCCTAAGCTCTGCACACTTCTGGTTGGGATTATTTCTGGTTCCTACTGCATGTCTGTTGGAAGATGTGGCATGGAGAGCGTAAGTGGAAAATGAAACAGTAACCCAAGGTCTTTCTCATCCATTCTTACCATTTATCCTCACAAGAGTCTCGCCAAAGGGTACCAAGAGCTATGAGAGTTCTGAAGAATCAGTCTCCTGCCACTTTTCAAAGAAACATTTGTTCTTGTTTTGCTTATATTATTAAACTTTACTTCATCTTGAAAATATAGACAGTGGCTCATGCCTATAATACTAACTACTCAGGAGACTGAGAACTGAGGATCAAAGTTCAAAAGCCAGCCTGGGCAGGGAAGTCCTTGAGACTCTTATCTCTAATTAACCAGCAAAAAGCCAGAAGTAGAAGTATGGATCAAATGGTGGAATGCCAGCCCTGAGCAAAAAAGCTAAGGGATAGCATCCAACCCCTGAGTTCAAGCACAAAGTATCAAGATAATGTAAATTTTAATTATAATCAGGAATAAAAAAGAAGAGATTACTCAAAATTAAGAAGATACTGGTTTTTAGGTTGAGTGGACCCAATTTCTCCTACAGGTAGCTGCCAACTTTCCCCAAAATTAAGACTTCTAGTTTGGTTTTACTTTGGGCAGCATCAATTATTTCAGAGCCCCGAGATAGAGAATTGTGACTTTAATCCAAACCTTCCAGAAAAAGACATTAGATTTCATTTTTACCTCCCTGTTCTTCCCACATCATGAGAATTATTCTTACCTGACAGTTAAGAATGTCTTCTGAAAAAAAAAGTCTTCATTTTGGCATTCTCTTGACAATTAATGATAACGCACACAGGGAACAAGGGATGGGGAGAGACTTTTATAGCATATCTTTTATGTTTATTTTTCTTATGCTCACTAAAGTTTTCCACTATTACTAAAAATTAAGTAATTTTAACTACTTAAGTACTTGCATTTCCCCATAATTTCATTTATCTGCTAAAGCTATGTTTTATAAATGACAGGATAGAAACTCTTGGAAAGGAAGGATAGACTATAGCCAGGAAAGATATGTTCTCAATCTAATTGATGCACTGTAAGCAAATATTCATTTTTATTATTTGCTCTTTGAACCAGTAGGCCTAATTGGGGTATGATCTGTTTATTTCCCAGCTGAACTGCTCCAGTTTTGCAAAGAGCAGTTTGTTTTAGGTAAATACAGCATGAATTTAGCCACTACCAATGGCTTTTTCTAATTAAGAAATAGAAACATGCTGATAAACTCATTTCAGACCAACTCAATTCAGCTCTCCTCAATGTCATGAAAACATTTTTATTTTTGACACTACTTTTGCCAACTGAGATTTTCACAAACATTATCTTACTTTCATTTCAAAGAAAATGTTGGAGTCATAGGGCTAGTGGCTCACACCCTAGCTACTTATGAGGCTGAGATCTGAGAATCATGGTTCAAAACCAGCCCAGACAGGAAAGTGTCCATGAAGACTCCAATTAATCACCAAAAGGCTAGAAGTGGAGCTGTGCCTCAAGTGGTAGCTTTGAGAAATAAAAAAGATAAAAAGAAAGAAAAGCTTGGGGACAGCAGAACTGGCACCAAAAAAAGGGAGGCTGAGGTATGAGAATCACAGTTCAAAGCCAGCCCAGGCAGAAAAAGTCTATGACACTCTTATTCTCAATTAGCCAACAAAAAGCTTGAAAATGAAATGTGGCTAAAGTGGTAGAGGACCAACCTTGAGCAAAAAGCTAAGGGATCATGCCCCAATACTGGCACACACACACAAAAAAAGAGGCTTAACGATGTTAGTAGCTTAGGCAAGCTCTGTGTTTGTTTCTCTGAATCTTTTCCAAGTATGTTCCAAATCCGAGGTCCCTATCACTATGAAGCAAATTATTCCCTCCAACAAGATTTTATTTAGGACCCGTTTGTAGGAGGGGCTCTATAAAATTAGCACCATTTACATTTTAACAAGGAGAAATCAGATGACACTGCTTCCAGCTTTAACATATGGAAAGAATAAAAAAGTCACTTCCTTTCCAAGGAGCTTGCCAGCTGGGCTGAAGCCGGGCCCCAGGGCCTTGCACAGAATCTGGGAGAGAGCAGGGTTACTCCAGCGCAGCAGGGAGAGCCTCTGCCACAGCTGGGTGGCTCAGACACAACTTTTCCCAAGAGTAACATCTCAGCTTTGGGCTGAGCCAGGAGTCTTACTGGCTTTCAGAAGCACTTCCTGAGATGTATTTTGTTTGTCATATTTTATTTAGGGGAGCACCCCTCTGAAGTCTGTGCTCAAAGCATATCCCAAGTAGTCATATCTATTTAACTAATCTTCTAAACTTCAGTCACCCCTCTCCTACAAAGAAGAGTTTGTGAATTTACTTAGGGATTGCACCTCTCACCATGAGATCCATAGTCCATCTCTTATTAGACCCCCAAGTCTGAAATTCTTTGTCCTGACAACAAATTCAGCAGCCTCTTCCCAAGAAAAGGAAGTATATTGTGAACTCTGGTGAGACTATTCTGCCTTACCTGTGATGTCTTGTTTGTGTGTGTGTGTGTGTGTGTGTTGTTGTTGTGGTGGTTGTTGCGTTGTTTTTGAAGATTGCATTTTTTAATTATCTTTAAGTAGTTGTAAACTTTTTTTGGGGGGAGACAAGGTTCAAAGGGTCTTACAGATTAGTTCACACTGACCTGCAACTCTTAGTCCTTCTGCCTTAACTTCTCTCTCCCAAATGCTGGGATTGAAGGCATGCACTACCACGTTCATCTTACGTCCTCTTTTGGGAAGGCTTTTGAATTCCAACATAGGGCAGGCCTGCCTTTTCAAGTAGATTTCAAGGAGCATCTAGGAAATGCTTCATCTTTTGGCATTTTCCCCCTCTCTCTTTGCCCAGTTTCTCGCTTCCATTTTAAAACCTGGGCTGCTAAAAGAGTAAGAAAAGAAAAACTAAATGAGGTAATTCAGTCACTTTTTCCATAAAGTCTGTCAACTTTCTGGATGAAAATTTGTTATTAGACTGTCTTAAGTCAGTTGATTTGGAGCACCATTAAAAAAGCCTGCTCTATTATTCTGCTCGCTAAAATTTCTATGAAGGACTAAAATACCCTATCTTATATGAAAGTAATTTATTATAAGTGATCCCTGGCTAATGAGTAGTCTTACTAGAAGCAAGAATTATAAATTATCCAGAACTATTTTAACATTCTTTGGCTTATACTTGTCTAATATGTCTACATGTGACAGCATGCTTAGGTAAGCTGGCATTCATAGATTCTCAACTAGTAGAAATTTGTTGGTACTGCTCTATAAAACAAAAATAGCCAAGTGCCAGTGGCTCATGTCTGAAATCCTAGCTACTCAGGAGGCTGAGATTTGAGGAATGTGGTATAAAACCAACCTGAATAGAAAAGTCTAGAGACTTTTATCTCCAGGTAACCACCGAAATGCCAGAACTGGCACTGTGGCTCAAGTGGTAGAGTTCTAGCCTTGAGCAAAGAAGCTCAGGGATACTGCACAGGCCCTGAATTCAAGCCCCAGCACCAGCATGCACGCGTGCTTATGTTCATGTACATGTGCATGTGTGTGCACACACACACACACACTATTAATATAAACCTCAAGGCCACTGAGCACAGAAGATCCAGTTTTCTTTAAACAAACTGTGTATCTCCTGTCTTTATACCAAGCCCTCTAATTCTGCAATGATATCATTTCCCTTGTCTAATCCCAGATAGGCAGTTAAGTGACAATAAGCAATTTCTCTAGACAAATGGTCTTTGATTTTTTTTTTAGGTTTCTAACCAAACTAATTTCTCTGGAAACATATTATGTTTCCATTTTCATCCATGGATAGAATATAACATTTCCTTTGGACTTGCTATCCTGGTGTGTAAAAGGAATTCTGAGGCAAAAAGATGGGAAAAGTAGATTACTTATTCAAAAATCCTTAAGAAGACATGGAAAAATGAGGGAGTGGGTAACAAATTCAACAAGAAATGTACTTTTTTTTTGGGGGGGGGTCCGGTCGTGGGGCCTGAACTCTGGGCCTGGGCGCTGTCCCTCAGCTCTTCAGCTCAAGGCTAGCGTTCTACCACTTGAGCCACAGTGCCACTTCTGGCTTTTTTTCTTTGTGCTTATGCAGTGCTGAGGAATTGACCCCAGGGCCTCAGGCATGCAAGGCAAGCGCTCTACCACTGAGCCACCTTCCCAGCCCCAAGAAATGTACTTATTACCTTACTTATGTAACTGTAACCCCTCTGTACATAACCTTGACAAAAATAAATAAATAATAATAATAAAAAAGAAGAAGACATGGAAGTAGAGGGGCCAACTTGGGAAGAGAAAGGGTTTGGGAGGAGAGGGATTAATATGATCCAAGTATGTTCTATGCACTTATGAAAATCTCACAAAAAAAAAAACACTTTTTACTTGTTTGTTCTTGTGTGGGTATTGGGCTTGAACTCAGGGCTTGGTTGCTGCTACTTAGTCTTTTCTCCCAAGGCTAACACTACTACTTGAGCCACAGCTCCATTTCTGTTTTTTTTTTTTTTTGTGGTTAATTTGAGATAAGAGTTTCACAGACTTTTCTGCTGGGCCTGGCTTTGAACATCAGTCTTCAGCCTCCTGAGTAGCTATGATTACAGGTATGAGTCACCAGTACTCAGCTGACAGAAGAGATGTTTAGATTCATTTTTCTCAGGCTTTTTAGGTAAAGCTGCTTGAAAAAAGGGTTTGAAAATGCTGACTTTCTTTCTAATCAAGTGTTTAGTGCAGAAAAATGAGCTGAATTCTTCCCAAAGTGGCAGGCCAGGACTCTCTAACCACACAGTTTCTCAGGTTAACTCACAAGAGCCAGCCAATTTGGAAATGCTATCAAATTGCTCTGATAACTCTTGGACATGAGTGCATTTGCACCTTTGAAAGTATAGAGGTGTCTCATAGAGAGACCATTGACCTCTAAGGTTATTTAGTGGCTGAGTAAAAACTGGCAATATCAATGTACCAAGTGACAAACTTTTCTTGGCTAAGCTACAGATTGCCAGTGTTTTAGGCCTAGTGGTTCAGCCTTCCTACTTCAAGCCTCCTTCTTAGTGACCTCTGTCTCTGCTTGGCCCTGAAGATAACATTACAGATCAATCTAGAGGATGACCATCCTGTGCAGGAAAAGGGAAAGAAGAGGATGGATTGAAACCCCTTCAAACTAGACACATTCCCCTGGTTCCTGTATATTTGGGTGATCTTGAATAGAATGAGACATATTACTCAATTGGTTTATTATCAGTATAGATCTTTAAGCTAGTGATTTTTTTTAAAGATTAGGGCTAGGAAGGTGGCTCTGTGGTAGAGTGCTTGCCTTGCATGCATGAGGCCCTGGGTTCGATTCTTCATCAACACATAAGCAGAAAAAGCTGGAAGTGGCACTGTGGCTCAAGTGGTAGAGCACTAGCCTTCTGAAGAGCTGAGGGCCCAGAGTTCAGGTCCCATGGCCTACAAAAAAAAAAAGTTAAAGTTTAGAGCCCAGTATATTCAGTAGTATTGGATAGCATCCATTTGGACATCCTGTTTTTATTTGAACATTCTTTTTGATGGTCTCTTTTCCAACAAAACTGTTAACCTTTTTCCCCCATTTATTGTTTAAATGAAAGATTCCACAGTCTCTGCTTTGAACTGTGGGATATTATCAATATGGATGAAGTCTGTGGATAGTGTTAAAAGTAATTAAAGTATGATGTGTGAAAACCTGTGTGGTTTTCCTCTTGTTTACTTTGTGGGGAAGGATGACAGGCACACATACCATGTCTCAGTGCTAACGCTCCAGTATAGATTAACATGGAGTGCTGGATGACTTGGCTTTATCTAAATAGGCTTTCTGGCCTTGAAAGAGGAAGGTAAAACAAGGGAAATGACAGCCCAAAGACAGCCCACATCCTCAGAATATTGCTAGGATACCATTTTCACTCCCATGCAGCACACTTGGTTGTTCGTATTCATGTGTATGTCTGTGTATGTGTGTGTTCTAGTACTAGAACTTGAACTCAGAGCCTCATGTTTCCACCCAGCTTTCCACTCAAAAGTGGTGCTCTACCACTTGAGCCACAGTTATATTTTAGGCTTTTTTGCCAGTTAATTGAAGATAGAGTCTCATCTGTCTTTCTAGGCTGGCTCAGCCCTCTGATTGCTAGGATTACAGGTGTGGACCATGGGTGTCTGGCTGCCATCTTTCTTTTTAATTGGCACCCACTTGTACATATTTATGAGGTACAAAGTGGTAATTGATTCAACATGCAAGAGTTTAGACTCAATTCCAAAAGATCCTGAGAAGCAGCCAATTATTTGAACATTGTGAGGCTTTCTTATTAGATTTACCAGGAAAAAGGGAACAGGGAGCTCTTCTACTGTTCAAGAAGAGCTGGACAGCTGGGCCTACCTGTAATCCTAGCTATTCAGGAGAGTGGGATCTGAGGATCCAGATTTGAAACCAATCTGGATAGGAAAGTCCATGAGACTCTTATCTCCAAAAACCAGCCAGTAGTTGGGAGTTGGCTCAAGTGGTAGAATGTTAGCCTTGAGCAAAAAAAGCTAGGGACAGTTCCCAAGCTAAATTCAAGCCTCACAATTGGCACAAAATGAAACAAATTTTTTTTAAAAAAATTAAAGCTGAGCACTCAAGCTGAGTTCCCTTGTGGTAGGAAAAATATGACTTGCAGGTGGTATTTCCTATTAGTCATGTGACTAGGGCCCCCGCACATGTGGGCTTTAATGGCAAGTCATTGACAGGGAAGGATGAAAAAGCTGTTGATTCCAAACTTCAGGCCAAGGTTAATGTACCTCTGGCATAGTAAACCCCACCCTAACCCCACCCTTGGTCTGGCAATTGCTTCTTCCACGTGAAGAAAGGAGAAGATGGTCTTAATTAACCCTTGGGCTCTCTGATGTAGTCCAGTAAGGACCAAGGGACCAGCACCATTCATGAGGAAAAGTCTAAAATACTTTCCAGATCCTATAGTGAAAAGCTCTAGGACCAGCCAGGTGACTTGTGCATGTAATCCTAACTACTCTGGAGGCTGAGATTGAGGGTCATGGTTCAAAGCCAGCTGGCAGAAAAGTCTGTGAGACTTTTATCTCCCAATTAACCACTGAAGAGCTGGAAGTAGAGCTGTGGCTCAAATGATACTAGTCTTGAGCAAAATTAACTCAGGGACAGCATTCACACCTTAAGCTCAAGCCCTGGCTGGCACTAAAATAAAATAAAATAATGGAGGCTCCCCTAGCCTGGGCAGCAGAAAAATCTGAGAGACTCTTATCCCAATTAACCACCAAAGAGCCAGAAGTAGAGGCATGGATCAAATGGTAGAGCAATACCCTTGAACTAAAAACATAAGAGAAAGTGTCCAATTCCTGAGTTTAAGTTCTCATAGTGGCAAGAGAAAGAAAGAGAGATGGGGAGGAGAGAGGGAAGGAAGAAAGGAAGGAAGGAA